TATTACGCCTATTTCGAGATGAATGATCGATTTGAATATAAAATTACAATACCTACTATTTCTTTTTCTTGCAAATATGTTCTAATAATGATAATGAACTCCAGGGACAAAATTACGGTTTGTTTTTAAAGATACCATGTGTTTTTCTTAGATCATTCCTTAAGAAGTTTAGGATCAGTGGTTTTTTTATTGTATACTTCCAGAACACGGATTAGCTATGTATAAGGTCACTCATCCAGTCATTCAAAGTAGCTTAATCTCCGGTACCATCACCATCCATACATCTATGTACTATTAGGATAACTGATTTTATTTACCATCCAAACATCCCCGCTCCTTGTTTCTAATTAACTGGAGGTCAGGATTAGGCCAAGAACAGAGGTGTACTCACCGTCACTGAGTCATAAACCGTTTTGTCTCATTTCCTATTACTTTGAATTTTAAATTGGATTGATTACTAGCAATTTAAACTTGAAACAAAACAGTCGTGAGTTTAAAATTCGACCAAGCCATTGTGATTTACATTGTTCTTAGTATATTTATTTAAGTAACTGTCTGGTAATCTCTTATTATATGATATAATTAGCGACAAAGAGATTTTTTTTTATTATTCCACACCAATATTTTATGTCTGTTAAGCTATCACGCCTAACCCACTAAACAGTTGACTTGAGATAGGACATAAGTTGTTTTTTACTGTGATAAAATGGTTGAAATAGGGATTTAAGTTGGTATGAAAGTTTATCATTGTCAAAGATAAAATAATGAAGCTTTTAATTTGGGTATGTATAATATTTGTTTAAGCGTTATAAGAAATGTTGCTTGTAGTAACTATACCACGGACAAAGTCGCGGGCAAAAGCCGGTCTATCATTAAAAGTCTTAATTACAATAGAAAAGCTGATTTACCACCGTGAGATAGTAAGGAAACACTTTACTATCGAATAGTAACAGTAAGCTAATCATCGTCATCAGCCTATCAATATACGTGGGGTAGAGGCCTTCTAAAAGTATAAAATCAAATCGAATAGGGAGAAAAGGTCATGACTAGACCATGTTAACGACTGCCTACGCTGCCGGAACCAGCAGCATAAACAAGAGGTGGAGATAACCAATTTTGGTCACCCATCCTATGACCGGCCATACCGGAAGTTGCTTATCCGTACCGCAGATCGCAGACCGTACCCGTTAACCACAGCGACTCGCTCCTTGCACTAGGCTAATAACCTTTACTATTCGTGTGCAGTCTACATAATATTCGACCAGTTCAGATATTTGGTACGGCGCGAGCTCCCTAGCTGGTGTTTATAGTCCGTGCCGGGCGGTAATTTCGACGTTTTTCATCGATAAATATCGAAATGTGGGTGAAATTATTCGGTATCGATGATTTATGCGCGCCGTTTGTCGTTGGGAATTCGCCGATTGGTTTCGCTGCCTAGTATTTGGAGTACGCTGGCAGAATATATGGGTTTTAATTAGTTTTTTTTTTATTCCATAATAACTTTTTGATATCATGGAATAAATAAATAGGATTCAATCCACATAAACAAATATCATTCGCAGAGTAATGAGTAAAAAGTAAGTTTATAGTGTAGTGTAGTAGGAATTGAATATTATTTTAACTTTAATTAGACAATGTAATTTTATCCAATGGCTATGTATTTGGATTTAGGAAGGGAATTATTAATTTACAAAAACAGGATGTACTACATGCGCCAGTGCTGCCATATCGTTATGCATTACTATTTGCATATGCATATACTCGTAATTATAATTTGAAGTACATTGTATTTTATTATTTATTTTAATGTTGTATATCTAAGCTTTCGAATATTTATAATTTCTTTTTTACATCAATATTAAAATATTTCATAGACCAAAAATTCATAAAAAATATCACATATATTGCATACATACCAAATTAAATAGATTGTATTATAGAACGATCGATCTAAAAGAACGAAGGTAACACTACTCCCAAACCCGAGTCAATATAGAAAAGCTCACTTTCTACATTGACTCGACCAGAAATCGAAACCAGGACACCAGAGATGGCCACACCTTGAAACCGACATGCCGGTCACTCGCCCGTGGAGTTCGTTAAACATTAACTTTTGTTTTAATTTACACAGTTTCATTAATCAAGCCCCGAAAAAATTTTACAACACAATTTCGTTGGTGCATAATTTAAAAAATCTCTTGGTATCATAAACTCCGCGTTGCCCTGATTCCATTTAAGTTATTTTATTGTCCTCCCGTCCGGGGCTTAGTTAAATCTGTATGCGAATATTTTTCAGAGATTATCGTATATCCCCTTTGTAAATACTAATAAACAGGCTGTACAAACGTTCACACTTTATTCCGGAACGTTTTAAAGAGTTTCCATTCATTAAATCGTTATAAATGTTTTTAAGTTTAGTTTAATTATAATTTTTAGTGACTTTATAATTAAACTAAACTAGCGTATTAAACTAAACTAGCGCATTCGTAATGCTATCTTGATATTTATCCTTTAAAGCCATTATCTGTGGAGGATTCTCAAGTTGAAAGTCTAATCATTCATCAAAATATTTAAACCCAGTTTGTAATAGTTTTTTAAGTATTTTGTAGCTGTATAAATTATAGCCGATGCCTTCGCACTTGAGATTTTGTACTATGACATATTAATAATGATTAAATAAGTGTACACAGTATTTAATAACGTTGAAGAAATTCAATTCAAATTTATAGACAGAACTCTTCTTAATTCTAGGGAGAGCAAACAAATACTAAAAACAAAATAATGTAAATGTAAATATTTCACCGTACAGTAAAAGTAGCTCAAGTAGCTCGGTGGCGTAGTGGATAAGCGCCGCGGCCCGCGATCGTAGTCGTTAAGGAACTTTTACAAGGGTCGGTCGGGGGATGGGTGACCAAAAAATTATTATCTCGAGCTACTCCGTGCTTCGGAAGGCACGTTAAGCTGTTGGTCCCGGCTACATTTGCAGTCGTTAATACCCTCCAATCCGCATTGGGCCAGCGTGGAGGGTCATGGCCCATCCTGCTTAACCATCCATAAGGAAGGCCTGAGTCCCTGCAGTGGGGACGTAAAAGGGCTGATGATGATGATGACAGTAAAAGTGTCTTTTTGCGTTTTTTTTTATAAATTATGGTACGAAACCCACACTTGGCTGATTTTTAGATACAACAAAGTCAGTTATAGTGAAAAAAAAAATCTCGTGTCTGATTTGCGTTGTGATTTAGACAGCCGTTAAACCTATCGGGAAACGTTAAGCCCCCACTCCCCTTTAGCGAACCGTTGACAGACCAATCGTATGTGACGGATCGCCTCAAAAGTTTTACGCCTAAAAAACATCGCGACTAACACAGATCGCGGTGATTTATGCGGCGAACGAGCGATTTATGTATCGCGATGGTCATGAATCGCGCGACTATTTGCGCGATATAGCTTGCTTGTGACGTCACGAAATATTGCGCTCGTTAAAGGTTTTATGGCTTAAAATAAATACTGACGGTAAGGACACGGTTGGTGTTACCAGTAAATTATTATTGCGTAGTTACACTAAAGTTTACTATAGAAAAAAATAGACGGTACATCTTCCATTAGTTTCAAAAGTGTTAGTATGATTCGCAAATAAACTAATTGAAAGGTATTAAACTTTTGTGCGATCAAGAAATTGCAAAGATACATTCAGATGAAATGTCACATAATATCACTATGTAGATTTCTTTGTGACTTTATAGATCACACTTCTCAAATTATGTGCCTAATAGCTAAGCAATTTCATACGTATCTAGAATTTTGCTTCGCTTGTCGGTCCGTAATTTCAATTCGTCTGACAGTTCCATTTTTACGGTCTCACCATAAATACTGTCTCGGAGACCCCTATAATTCATACGGTCAACTGACTTCACTATTGTTCACTCGATTCAATGTGTCTAGATTAAATACTCGAGAAAATAAAAGAGATCTATCTAATCTAGTCTCATTTAAAAGTAGGTATATTTATATAACTATTTAAAAAAAACATGTCACGTATATTTAGATTGAATACGGCGTGTATATGTCAACATCATCATCATCATCAGTCCTTATACGTACCTACTGAAGGGGCTCAGATCTTCATTTATTTAAAGGTTAATGAAAGATGGGCCATAACCCTCCACGCTGGCCCACTGCAGGTTGGACGATATTAACGACTGTAAATGCAGTCAGAAACTTCCTTTCGGAAGACAAGCTTGAGCTAATAACTTTTGGTCACCCATCTTGTCAGCGACCCTTGTGAATGTTGCTTAACAACAACAATCGCGGGTCGCGGCGCTTATCTATCTGTGCTTAAGGCAAAATTTGGAAGCGACTCGAACGATTGAGCTAATGTTATTATTGATAGTAATAATTATGAATTTATTTCAAGTTCTGGTTCAGTCATAAACTCTTACAATTGACACGCTACATAATGTAAATTGCATCGTCTATCCTACTCCAACTTATGTATTATTAATACCGTAAAGTAGGACAGCGCACGATATATTGAAAATTGGTTTGCACTCTCAAACCCCCAGAGGAGGACCGTGGGAGTAACTCTGGTGCATTTTACAATGTACCTACCACAAATTAAGCTTAAACTTATAATTTTTATATCAACATTGATACTTGAGATACAAATCTCAAATCTAATAATGTTTTTTTTCTATGATAATATTGTGTTAGAGTGATGTAGGCTGGTGTGTGCGCAGTATTTATGTGTCAGCATAACCAGTAAACTCTTTTTTTAACTGACTTCAAAAAGTGGGCCCGATGTGGTCTCATATAAATTTTATCGAAATTGAATTGATTAAAAACCTCATAAAAAACAAATTGTTAGCATAAACAATGACACGAGGTATAAAAATACAGAGAAAATGAGATATCGCTCTTTGGCTTAAAAGTTATAATGTTTTATAAATTATGACAATTTAGATTTTATCTATGATTTCTTTCACAGACCAAAAAGCGGCTCAATGCTGCTGTACAGCCGGAAGAAGGTGAGGTACCGACGCGACGGCTACTGTTGGAAGAAGAGAAAGGACGGGAAGACCACCAGGGAGGATCACATGAAGCTCAAGGTCCAGGGGACTGAGGTAAGAATCTTGCAAATGAAACACATTAGAGTAGATAATTCGGTTTTGGCAATTTAACACTTTAGGGCGTTCTAACTTTACGCTTTTAAAATGTTGAATTAATGCAAAACTAACACTGTTAAAAACTATGATGTGTTAGTGTCTATGATTCAATGTAAAATTCACTTTCTTGTAACTATTAAAATGCCCATAACAAGGTCATCGTCATCTCGACGATCGCTGATTTTTATTAATTTATTCATTTATTAAGATGTACCAAACGAGTGACGTTCGGGTGAAAATACAAATTAAAGGTACGTTTTACAGTTATTGAGGTTGCGACCCTTCACATGTACATATTGTAAAGGTAAACTAAACAAAAACATGCATCTATATACTTCTATAACTGTTATTGTTTGATATCATCACCAGCCCTTTTACGTCCCCACTGCAGGGGCTCAGGCCTTCCTTATGGATGGTTAAGGAGGATGGGCCATGACCCTCCACGCTGGCCCAATGCGGATTGGAGGGTATTAACGACTGCAAATGCAGCGGGGACCAACGGCTTAACATGCCTTCCGAAGCACGGAGTAGCTCGAGATAATAATTTTTTGGTCACCCATCCCGTGACCGATCCTTGCGAAAGTTGCTTAACGACTACGATCGCGGGCCGCGGCGCTTATCCACTACGCCACCGAGCTACTATTGTTTGATATAATTAATATTTTTTTGATTTGATAGCTTTATAATTAATGTTTTTTAATAACATCACCAAGTTACTAAATATAAAAAAAAAATTACACCAATGTGTGAATAAGCTTTCTTTTGAAATCTAATGTATTACAGTTGAAAATATCAATCTCCGTACCAATGAGTTCATTCTATCAGCGATACATTCTAAATATAGGATTATAGTGAGAACTATTATTAAAATACACAGAGAGAGTGAACATTTTTGGTCTTATTGAATTATAATTAGTGTTAAAATTAATTAAAGTCAATAATGGCGTGCAATTGGGGAGGCCTATGTCCAGCAGTGGATGAATATGGGCTGATGATGATGATGAAAGTCAATAAAGTAGAGGACTGAATTTTAAAGATAACAATCTTATAAAGAGTCATTAAATCTAGGACCCCTCTCCTAATTGCCAACGCTTGTACATTAAATCTCTTCATATGAACGGTAGGTGCGTAATAGGTGAAATTTATAACATAAGAACCTAATAAAACGCTTCTGTATTCGTTCGAGTTTGTTAATATGAACTTAATAATTAAGCGACCAAGTTACTGAATTATACACCAATATCTTACGAATAAATCATTCAAATAGAAGAAATGTTTTAAAGTGAACTCGCATTACTGTATATAAAACCTAGCATTTAAGAAGATTTATTGAAAATATAGTCGTAGTGATTACGATGTGACAATTTACAATCAAATAACACTCAGTGGAGGATCATGGCGCATCCTCCTGGGACGTAAAATGGGCCGATGATATAAGTTAATATCGGTTTTAATTTTAAGAATCGTTTGGCTAAAGTACCTACAACTCAACTGCTACTTTTATTAATTTTAACGAATGTCACTTATTTAAGTGATTGTGAATGAAGTTCAATAAAATTATTATTTGACAATTCTATCGTAAAATCGTATTTCTTATATTCTAAGAAAGTTGCTTGTATAGATTTTCTATACTCCAATATTCGTTATACTAATCTACAAACTAAATCACAGCAATCAAATAGACGAACCTGAACTTTATATCCAAACACAGAACCGAAAGTGCTGACGCTACACGGACAGCTTGAGTGATGTCTGAAATCGAAACGATAGAAAAGAAAATTACGGTTTTGTGAGTGGCCAATGAAACCTGAGTGTCGGTTTAGACGGCTGCTCACTTTCACTGACACACGTTTCAATTGGAATGAAGATGGCAAAATGCAACTATTGAAATCATATGTATCTTACTTTCTTAGAAAAAAATTAATAATCTTATTAAAATAAGAAAATATTTAAAGCCACACAAATTTTTAGTTGCCATAGTTGGTGACTTTAAACGGCACATGCAGTAACAAATTAGTCATTTGAAAGGGACAAGGATAGAAAGCGTATCCACTCTAATATGGAGTCCATCATATTAGAGTGGCTATTAATGAAATTATTACTATTCCATTGGAGTCTAACTATGAAAATTCTTATTATAAATTTTTAAGGTATATTTAAAAAGCTTCACCTTACAGCCTAACTTATTGCCATTTCTGACAAGGTTCATAACCTAGTCAATTCCTTGACAGAAATGTCAATTAAGTAAGACATAGGATTCATCATAGTTCATCCCATTTTTGGTGAAACTTTTGTGAATGCAATAAAATAATTGAGTTGAATGTCTGTTATTCGCTGTCGAATTCAGGCTGTCGAAATGCATATAAACAAATCAATCTCCATATTTCGTTATTAAAATTTATGGATGGGACCTCTCATGAAACCGCAGTTATCGCCCCCAATTAGCGGCGCTCGGCTCACGCTTAATTGATACGATTTACTTATTCATTACGAATGTTCTCGTCGTTTGCATTGTAACAAATCTGTGGTATCCTCGATGGGTAGGGGGTATGGAAATGGATTTTGCGGTTCACCTATTGATTCCAGTATTCATTTGCATTGTATGGAATGTCGACATGAATTTCGGCATCTTAATTGTTAGTGGGACAGTATAGATGCTTGCATTATTTTGTGGAATATAAAGTACATCGTAGTGTCATTTAAATTCCGGCTAGTAGTAGTCTAACAATTATGGATCATGAAACTTATCTCAAAAGTAGGCTGTTCAATTTTCGAGTTGGTTGTATGATTTGTTTATGTAACTACAGTACCCGGTATGAAAGTAAAGCGTCCTCCCTAAAAAAATAAAAATAAAATAATATACTTCAAAATGTGGTGGTTAAATGAAATACTCGTATATAAGAGACTTGTAACAAATCTGGTCGGTTAATTGCAATAACCTACATCAAACTCTCGCATCCTTCATGCCAGAGACTCTATATCTTTTATGCGTTATTATACTATATTCACATATTTTTTACACACACCGAAGACATATTTATATATTTGAAACAAATGAAGACTAAGTACTACAGAGAGACTACAGCAAATTTTTATTAATTTGAAAATATACACGAAAGCAAAGCCAACGTAACATTGATTTAAACATTTTAAATCCAATATAAACACTCTAATTCACATTTAACTAGCTTATTCTCGCAATGATACGGAGTGCACGCCATCTAGTGTTTTGTTGCCACATAAGCTGTTTGGAATATTGCCAGGTTGGGTGTGGTGGAAGTGATTAGATGCAGCGACCTTGGAGTCCAGGGCTAGCCTTGGTTTGAAAGCACGAGATGGTTTAGTTTATTTCAAAATTATTTCACAGATTAGTAGTTTGTTTAATGGACTATGTTTCTAAAGTAGCTTATTTGAATATTGATCCTTTAGAAGTACTCAATTCGTTTCTTTAAGGATTCCATTTTAAAGCTGCCTTCGATTACGTTGATTCGAAAGCAATGATATTTATAATGATGTAATAAACAGAATTTTATGTTTTATTGTTGTTATAATAAAACTGATAGATTTTTATTTGCTAAAAATGATCTATAGATGGCAAATATGCTCTAAATCTGAAATTCTTAAATTTTGTTGCTTTGGTATTTGATAAAAATACAGCATGGTACACACCGCTGTTGCAGTATTAGGGATTCAATCAATAAAATAAAACAATTATCACTCCTTGAAGAAAGTTTAAAAAAATATCGATGCTGATGTTATAGTCTAAATTACTTGGTTTTGGTAATTAATTAAAGTAAAATATAGAAAATGTTGATCTCTTTTTAAACCATACCACGAAACATATCCGAAAACTCAATCGTTTTGTAATTTTCTATTTCTGTTATTATATTTCTATTCAATGCTATCTAATTAAATGCAATACAACAATTTATCTTTTTTATATTCCATTACATTGTTGTATCTTAATAATCTTAAAATAAGTTTTTTTTTGTGTAGCAACAAATATTGTAACATGTAATTGAGATTACGCTATTCGCCTTTAGTTTACGCCATACGATCTGGGCACGCAAGACTGTCACTGGTTTATGGGCAAAAAGGCCTACGGTTGGTGTAAACGGGCACTGTGCAAAGCTTACCAAATTCAGTCTTTCAAGATTAAGTTGTTCCGTGACCGTGCAGCGGACCGCGATACTAAAAGATTTGTGATGACAACCCCCCACTGAGAGGTCTGGGCTTGGAGGCGCTATGGTTGTTGAGCAACTTTAGCAATGACCGGTCTTAGGATGGGTGACCAAAAATTTATTACCTCAATCTCCTCTATGTTTCGGAAGGCACGTTAAGCCGTTAATGTCAACTACATTTGCAGTCGTTAATACCCGACAATCTGCACGGCGACGCGAGGTGGGCCAGGGCTCAGTCCCTGTCAATTCGATTCAATCCATAGAAAAGCTTGAGCCCCAGTAGTAGATGAAATACACATATTTGCCCTTTGAATGTTAGCTTGTTGCGTAGCATTATTGTAATAGATTAATTATGGTCGGGTAGTATGAAAATCTTATTATGAAAAGTGAAATAACATATCAAAATTATGATCTCTTTCGAATATATTATGCATAAATATTTGAAGTTATTAGTAATTTAAAATAAATGACGCATGAAGGAGGCGTAAGGATGATTTTATAACGTAAACTTAGCTCTTGAGGTTCCATTCAAAGATTCTAGTTTAAAAAATGTAACATAACCAGGTTGTTAATATAATGTTAAATATTCTCATCGATTAATTAATAAAGCTCTTACAGTACAATTCCTCAAGAAAACACCTTCCTTACACTTAGCCATTTATTATAAGAACAGTAATAGTTAGTTCTGGCATCACGCCAGCACTTCCTAGTGTTATTCAAACATTTTACTCTTTTGGAGAGAAAATTTAACAATACCTAATTCGGTAGAGTAATTTA